TAAAACGTGGCTCCGCAATATTGGTGATTCAAATACAACAAAATTATGTCGTTATTTAGAGCGCAATCATCCAAATAGAAATGGAATTATTTTAATAAACAACGAGTGTTCCTGTTGAATGATTTTAGACTTACAGCCGATAAATTTGCACATGTGCGTTCGAATTCCTGGAGCCAATATTATATTAAAAAAATCTGAATTTGAATTAATTTACAACCAAAGAACTTTAAAAATAAAAAACTTTCAAATTTAATACACATTTTTCATTATATAAAAAAATTTTTTACTTTCGGTATGAATATTACCTTAAAATTCGAGTCGAATACGAGTTAAACCATAATCGGGTCGGGTCGAACAACAATCGGGTCGAGTCGAATTCGGGTCCTGTAATATTAACGGGTTCGAGTTCGAGTTTGCTTCAAACCCGACCCGACCCGACCCTTACGGAGCACTATAGTTAACATAGCTTATATTAAAATCAATATTGCGTGTATACACTATGTAAAGTATAATATGTAATTTCTTATGATAGCTACTAATAAAAATATCGGTATATGAAGATCAGCATGATCCTATTTGGCTAAATTATCAGATCGTATTTGCGAACGGAGAGTTTATGTTAAGTTTAACTATGAAAGAAATAAACACAAATTAATTTAATAGAAGCCTAAAAAAATTGAGCACAATGGCACCAGCACAAATCATTACTATTTTATCATTTTGCTTCGATAGACAAGTATAATTTAATGACGTATTGTTATGAATACAAATTAACATAATTGATATGCATATGTCGAGTATGCTAAGAACTTAATGAATTTTCTATCATTATTGATGATAAATATTTGATTCTATTTTCATTAATTAGAATACTAATTAATTAAAAACAGAATTTAGATTAAAAATTAGGACAATTGTCGTAAGTATTTTATTTGGCGGTATTAGCTATTTTATTTTTACAAAAAAAATAATAATATATATATATATATTTATTCAAATAAACTATAAAATTATTGAATTACAATATTTATTAAAATATGAACCCTATCTACCGTTACAGTAAGTATTTAAATCGTTTAATTAATTAAAATTCTCTCATATAAACTTCACTTCATTTTTTTAACTTAAAATTTTCTTTTATTGCTCCTTTTTTACCTCTCAACTGTTAAATTTTGACATTTTATTTTTTAAAAAAAAAATAAAAATTCTAGTTTTTCTTTTTATAAATAAACAATGTATAAAAATAAGAAAAGATTAGCTTTATTGAAATATAACTTCAAAACAAAAACAAAAAGGTTTATTTACTACGTTAATTCAAATTCAAATTTTGGTTAGTTAAAGTTTAAGTACGATGTATATACAAAAAGTGATATTCTCGATCAGTGTGACATAATGTTAAAAGTTTGCTAATCGCAATGACTTTAAGCTTAATACTCCAATAATACGTTAGACAGGTTATCAGAGATTTCTTTAACCAAAAATTATGATGTAATTAATGTAATTAACCAATCCGAATAGATAACTTCTCATGAACAAAGATTTAATTTAAATGCAGGAAATATCAAATTCAATTATTGACGTCTATCATTATATATATAAAATCAGCATTAGTTTATATTAAATATATCAATAATTCATTAAATTACCTTTTAATTGAAATGAGCTAGAAATTTCTAATTCATGTAATTGAGAATCTTGAAATATTAAATTGCATTAAAGTTAGTATTTATATTTTTATTATGAAATTAAAATATAGACAATACCTTCATTATTTTCATCCATTTCAAGATATGAAGTAATAAGAGACGAATTAATAGGTTTTGTCAAATTTTTAAACGCAAATACTCTACTTGTGTATACAGCATCAGGATTGGTTTTACGTGAAATTAAAATATTTGGTATATCTTTATCGGCTTCTTCAAATGCTTCTTTTATTTGTTTTCCATCTTTATAAATCTCATATCTAATAGAATTATCCAAAAAATCTAATATACTTTTTAATTGATCGGCTGTTGGTCGTTGATTTGGATTTGCATTCATACACCTATAAGCTAATTTCTTATAAATTTCAGGAGTTCCATTTCCAAATTCTGGACGGAGTCCATTACAAACATCTAAGGCTAAAGACATGTCATGTTTTCTATCATAAAAGGGAGGGTTTCCAGTTGATAATTCAGCCATAATTACACCAAAACTGTAGATATCAGAGGCTAAGGTATATACTTCTCCATTCAAGACTTCTGGAGCGATATATGGTAATACTCCATATATTTTGTCATTCGAATTTTGCTTATCTGCTGGTCCTGTTAATCCAAAATCTGAAACGTAAGTAATTACTTTATCTTGCAATATATTTCCACTATGAAAATCCTTATGACAATATCCTAATTTTTGTAAAGTATTAAGATCAAAAATAACATGAAGTAATTTTCCAATTTTTTCTTTCCATAATATATTGTTAAAATTATTTGAAAGATTATTTCTCAAATTTCCATCAGGTAAAAATTTTACAATCATAACAAATTCTTTGGTTTCCGTATCCTTTGTTATTCCATAAAATTCTAATAAAATATATTTATTTGCATTATAAAAATCCCAATGTGCTTTAAGCTAGTTTTGTAATATAATATAATTTTATTAAAATAAAAATAATATATTTAATAAATATCAAATGTAAATGTAAATACCTCATTAAAATAATAGGCTGACATATTTTGTGATCCATTTAACCTTTTCAAAGCAACCTTTATAGGTTTAGGATCATATTTTTTCCAACTTCCATCATCTTGTTTTTTAAAGTATGATTTACCATCGATCCATGTTGCAGAATACACGTTGGCAAATCCTCCTTCACCAATTTCTTCCATATCTGTGAATCTATCAAATGGCACCCATTCAAGAAAAATTTTATGTTCAATATTTCTTGCTTCATACATTGTATCTTTGATGAATTTATCAATATCAGAATTTCCACTAGTCCATCCTTCAATTATACACATAGGATCACATTCTTTACACCTTAATGTCTCTGTAAATGGTTTATCACAATAAGAACATTTATTATTTTCAGAGACATCTAATTTGTTGAATTTAGATTCTATTAAGTCTTGAACTTCATTTACATCCATTATTTTTTTTTTAAAAAAAAAAGAAAAAAAAATTTCTGTAATTTCAAATGAGGATATAAAAGGAATTATCATGCCCAAATTTGGATCAAAGTCCGAACAAAATCAAATGATCATGCGGTAATTATTAATTTTGGCAATCTTAAACTTAATAATTTAGCTCATAAATTTAATTATTTAATTACCGAAACTCTTAGTTTAAAGTATTAATACAAAATATCATTTTAAAACGTGTGTTGTTCTCTGCCCTATCTTTCTTCCATAACTAATTTTTTTCAAATCATACTTATGATCGAAAAATAGTAGTTAGTCAAAAGTATAAATAATCGAGACTTTTAATATAATTTCCTAATTTGGTTTCAAATACAAAAAAATACTTTCTCTTTTTCTTTTAGTTTAAGTAAATAAGTATATAAAATAAATTATAAAATAATATAAAGATAAAAAATCAGATGGTTTTAAAATTATATCATTTATCATAAAATTAAATCTTTGGAGGTATATTCCGGGGAGGACAAAGTATTGCACAGCCAAAGATTTAGATGATTTTTCATAAGTAAATTAACAATTTTTAATTACATATCTATTGCCTACAAAAATATTTGTGTATGTTGGACGATTTATTGAAACTTGTGATTCCTATTTTGAGCGCTGCGCCACATGTGATGAAATAGTTATGCAATTGTAATTATGATTGTTGTTTTATCCTTTTTGTTACTTATCAACATCACTTTCTCATTTTTTAGGAAAGCGCACGATAGAGTATTTTATTTACCGTCCTCCCTCCCTTACGTCCTATAATTTTTTTATTTGTTTATTATTATTAATTATTATTATATCATGCAGGTTTCACGTTGATTTACCTTCACAAATATACCTATTAATTTATTTTATTTTGCTCATGTAATAATTTATGGCATATACAAAAGTATAAGCGCGGTCATAATGCTTGACCAACAATTTGTTCATGTGCCGGCAGGGCATGAACCGCTTGTTTTAATGCTGAATTGTCGCTTAATGCTTCCACGCTAGCAGCCAAGTTTCACTTTTTGTGTTTTATACTGATGTAAAAGCAACTAGAAATACTAGAAATCACATAACATTTTTATATTATTTATGATATTTGATTTGCTGGACCCAATTTTTTGCAACCCTTATTAAAAATAATTCCTTTATTAGCTGCTATTAAAAATTAATCTTTATTTTAATTCTCAGAAATGGAACAAAGCCAAACATGCCTAATCCTTTTCAAAAGGTTATGCATTGAAAAATTACGTATTTTTTCATTAGAAAACTAACGAAGCATAATGCGTAACTCAACGATCCACAACCTGTCATTAGAACATTGCTTCAATAATACAAATGATAATAGCGAGAGAAATGAAAATTAATTGACATAGCCCTAAGCAAAAGAAAAAAATATATTAAATACTACACCCATCCCGCCCGAAATAAGTCAACCAGAAATTGGAAGCTAAGTTACGGTCCGCGGTCGCTTAAAAAGTAAAAATAATAATACTTTGATAAAATAATAAATAAAAAAATAAATAATATTTTAATGAAAAAATTTACAAAAATAATTAAATGAAACATCGTTTTAAGTTTCGAATATTTTTTCATCCTTTAATCTATTTATTAGTTTATTTTATTTATTTGGTACTTTTCAGATTTGTGATTAATGATAAGTTCGATCTTCTGCAATAAGACATTTATTTTTATTAAAATTATTATTAAATAATTATTTAATTTTAGATAAGTTTTATTTTTTGATTACCTTTTTTTTAGAAGATTTCGAACATTTTATTTAAGATTTTTTATTTTTTCATTTTATTTGATCAATCTTTCAGGGCCATTTTTTAGAACCCTATTATCCTATTTGGATTGGGTAGTTAACACAAAAGCCAAATAAATACGTTTTATTTTTATTTTATAGATATGGGCTAGATTGCTTCGGGCATATCGCAAAATTCGATTTCATGCGCCCTTTCTAAAACTTTTTCATATATTCTTGAAAAAAACACTCCAATGTAAACTAAATTTTATTATAAGGTTGTAAGGTTATTGCAAAAAATTATTACTATTAAATTATATATATCTCTTGGCATTTTATTTTAATAACTTTGCTATTAAATTCACCTCGTGAAATATTGTTACACATATTTTGAAATTTTGCTATAAAATTAGCCATTGAAGCAATTGAAACGCCGCCGACTTGTTCAAAATTCCGGGATTCAACTCCGCTGCAACTTAGACAATCAAAGTACCTTTTTGACTTTTTGACTAAATTACTATTATTTCTTTTTGAAGTAACTGAATAGATATAAATAAAATATAAATAATTTAAAAATTAAACTTTTAATAATAATTAATTATTAAACTTTAATAAAATATGAAAATGTAATGTCAATGGTCCTAGTCACTTGCTATGGCTATCAAATTGGCATCAAATTCTTGATAATTATTTCGTTACAGATGCTTCAAGTTTTGACTCTTCTGCAATGACTAAATTTAAAGTCCGTATCATTCGAAATACTGATGAAATAATTTCAATAGAATTATTTCGACTGAATGATGCATAATTGATTTTCATCAAATGAAATCCACTTTGATCGATCCATGAGAAATTTGAATCTTAAAATATATTTTCCCAAAAAGGAACATTTCTTGATAAATATGTTCTATAACAGTATCGATCGTATTAGATGAATTAACGCTTTGTCAAATTGCATTTGAACATGGAAGAATCAGTATTTGCTGATGCAAGCATCCTTTTTTTCTTTGCTCTTATTCCTCCTCACTTAACGGTTGATCTGATATTTTATCTAGCATCATTATCAAATATTAGCATAAAATACTATAAAGAAATTAATAAAAAGAATTACGTATATTTGTATAGATTTTTTTGATCTCGTATTTTCGAATTACAATAATTTGATCTATTTGTAATCTAAGATAATATATCACATGTATACTTCGTGAAAAATTTCTAAAAATAAAAATGATAAAATAAAATAAACATCGAAAAGCATCCCGTTTCTAAAAAAAACTTAAAATAACTTTAAATGTCGTGTTCTTAACTTCCTACTTACAAAAGAAACACGTAATGAAAGTTTACATCATTTCATTATTTTCACGTAAGAATAATTCCCAAATATTATAGTCAATTTAGTCCTATAAATACTTGCACCATTTTTTTCAGATTAAAAACACGAAGAATAAAATTTCATCTTTTTTAGATTGACATATTCCGGAAATCAATGAGCAATTATTCTCAATATATCTAAAGACAACTCTTTAGCTATTAATATCAATTAATATATGAACATTTTAAGCAACTTCACTTATAATTTATGAAATTTTATGTAAACTCTTTATTCTTACGAAGGAATCCTGCAAAAATAAATAAAATCACGACCGTGCAATCACATCCTCGATATTGAATTTTCAGGATCAATAATTTCTCATTGACTTAAATGACTCTGCCTTTACAAATGCTTCACTATAAACTTTGAGAATTCCGAAATATACAATACATTCTTTTAAAATTAGATTATATAAATTTAAATTTGATATATTGGATTGGCATATAAATTACATAAATAAGTAAAAAGTTATGGTTCAATTTCGTACTTGATATTTTGCATATAAATAAAAAAAAATTTAAAAGTAAATCTTTGGCTTTACTAATATACATGTATATGTATCTATCAATAAGAAATTTGATAATCCAAATTGAAGATCAATTGATAAGTTATATATTACATCACATCATCATTTTTATTGAAAAATATAATACCACCATAATCTTAAAAGAGCATTTCTAAGCACTAGATTTCCAATATTATTAAGAAATATTTGATAATGTATCTAAAAGCTTCGTTGACGGCATTACCAAAACTAGTCTTTGCATTATTGTAACCATTTTTGTGACTTATCTTTTGTAAAGAACAGTGTGAAACACGTTGAGATTTTTCTCAATTTTAAATTCTATACATTTGATAAAAATGTGGGATGTTTTCGTAGATAGGAATATTGTGAAAATTCAT